AAGTTAATTTTGTCACATTTTTAGTGACTTAGACAAATTTAACCTGAAATTGTTAAACTTGAGCTCTGATGTTCTGGACAATATTCTACCAATCGTTTCTGAAAGAATGTTTAATTCTAATACAGTTATAGATAAATAGATCTTCAAAATAGGGGCAAGACATGTTTACTTTGTCACATCAGCTATTATTAGAGTTAGGTAATCGTCATCATATTAACATATATTCTTTTGTAGTTTGGATTGATTTATTTAGGTAATAAAGCAGCCTATGCTAATTTTTACACACTATTTTGAAATTGTTGGGGCAGGAAAAGTTAATTTTGTCACATTTTTAGTGACTTAGACAAATTTAACCTAAAATTGCTAAACTTGAGCTCGGATGTTCTGGACAATATTCTACCAATCGTTTCTGAAAGAGTATTGAATTCTAATAGAGTTATAGATCTTCAAAATAGGGGCAAGACATGTTTACTTTGTCACATCAGTTATTATTACAGTTAGGTAATCGTCATCACATTAACATATATTTTTTGTAATTTGGATTGATTTATTTAGGTAATAAGGCAGCATATGCTAATTTTTACACACTATCTTGAAATTTATGGGCAGGAAAAGTTCATTTTGTCACATTTTTAGTGACTTTGACAAATTTAACCTAAAATTGTTAAACTTGAGCTCTGATGTTCTGGACAATATTCTACCAATTTTTTCTGAAAGAATGTTGAATTCTAATAAAGTTATAGAATATATAGATCTTCAAATAGGGGCAAGACATGTTTACTTTGTCACATCAGTTATTATAAAAGTTATTAAAGGAGACTATTTCATTATATAATCATTGTTTTTAACCTATTTAATTTGCGATTTCGTATAATTTTTTGTGACAATGCAATGTAAACATCAACTGATCTTAACTTGCATCAACTACATTGTCATCATGTAAAGTTTTCCCGCCTTTCAAACCAAAATCAGATATAAATAATTCGCCCAAAATTTTAAATTTCATATATTGTGACAGAATTAACCTCATTTCCCAATAACCAAGTGCCTGTATTAGCTAACTTTTCAAAGCAACATATTTAAGGGCTATGATTGGTACTCCGTACTTGGTAGATCAACCATCAAATAATGAGTTAAAAGGGTTTTGAGGACACCTCACAGTAGAATAGAGGTATGGTATCCTGAGTGTGACAAAGTTACCCAAATATTGCCTTGTAACCGTTCGATCCGTGCCCTTTAACCAATGTTGTATCATAATTGTTAGATTGACCTAATCTACTATGTTTCAGGCCAAGGAATGGTAATTAGACAACTGCAGTTAATTAAGTCACACAAAATGTGACATTTGATACATTTTAGTGCCTAACAACAATATATTTTCTTTCTGAGCAGTGCATATGGGAGTATGGGTTATGTGGCTAATGTTCAGAACTTCTGAACGTGCTAGGTTAATAGATGTCAAAATTAAGCCACTATCGTCAAAAACGCTATTATTTTTATTTACCAATATCCTCAAACTCAAATGAACGTGTCCTTAACAGATTATATCATATCATGGACCAGTTAAAAACCTTCGTTTTATTTTGTCGACCAATACAAGCAAAGTTATTTCACATAACGCCTCTGAATTAGAGCAGAGCATCCCTTTTCGTATTAAATTAAACTACCTAATAACTGATTACGTGAAGTACTGTACACAACTTGTATTGGGCCGCACCACGCGCGGCTGTATCGTGGCTTTCGCCCCGATGCTGGATGAAATGACATTGAATAAAATAACAATGAGGGCCACGACGTGATACAAATCAATTTATAACTTAATTGACGATGTCAATTCATCTCAGCTCGGCGCGGCACAGTAGCGCATCACTGTCGCTGTGAGAAGCCTCATTGAGTGCGCGGCGCGGCACAGTAACGCATCGCGCTACAATTTATTTGATACATGTTTCGTATCCAAATATCGGATTCGGCGCGAAAAGTGGCATGCAACGTATGTCAATATTTGGAGGTAGGACTTCGCCGCTTCGACGCGCTGCGCAAAGTTTAATTTTATTTTGCAATCGAAGAGATCGTTGCTCTGTTAATTTGCTAAGCAACGATCGATAATGACATCGTCAATCAAATATTTTATGAGTATTACCGTTTTGCGTTTAATTAAGTTTTGCGTTTAAATTCAGTTAAGTGACAAAAATCATTTTACATTATTAATTAAAAGCGTTGTAGCACGATGCGTTACTGTGCCCCGCCGCGCACTCTATTATGCTTCTCGCAACGACAGACAACAGATATGCTAGATCGGCGAGGTGCGCTACTGTGCCGCGCCGAGCTGCGATGAATTGACATCGTCAATTAATTATAAGCACTACGCGGTGCGGCCCTGTTTTGCACCCTATATTGCTCCAACCAGAGCCCTCTCGCTTGCATTGAAACAAGCGCGTCATGCAGTACGCGTATACACATGGCTATGTGTACACCATATACAAGTATTCCTGCCAAGTAACATCAGATCTTACAGAAGCAATATACAATCAACACCCAGATTTTTATGATGATCAGGAAAAACTTGTAGAGATCAAGGCCCAAATCAGAAAATCAAGGATTGAGTTTTTCAAGGAGAGAAAAGATGAGGTTAAAAAAGACCTGAATGAAAGCCAAAAATTGCAATTACATCTTACATTTAATTAGAGAAAGGGACAAGTTCCTGGCTGTCATCACTCCCGCTCAAATCATTTGGATTCTGTCTCAACAAGCAAGAATTCAATGACGCCCTAGCCCTTAGGTACAACTTTGGAATAAAAGATGCTACAAGAAAATGTGTATGTGGAAGTGACAACTCAATAAACCACTCATTAATATGCAAAAGGGGTGGGTATGTATTTCTTCGCCGCAATTCATTGAGAGATGTAATGTGTTAGCAGAGCTCTTAGAAACTGCTGGCTGTAAAGACGTTACCACTGAACCTCTCCTTATCCCTGTCAATGGGAAAGAACTTCCTGCAGGGGCCAACAAAGCAGATGGAGCTTGGTTAGATGCTAGGAGTGTATGGAACCCATTGGAAAGGGCATTTTTAGATGTAAGAGTATTTCATGCTCAAGCTCCTTCCAATAAGGCTTTTGGATTTCCAATGAGTATGTACACTAGCCATGAGAGACGGAAGAAAAACATGTACAACAAAAGGATTGTCGAAGTAGAGCATGGAACATTTACACCAATAGTCCTATCAACAACAGGTGGAATGGGAAGAGAAGCAAATACTTTTTTCAAAAAGTTAGCTGATAGAATGTCTAGAAAATCAGGACAAAGATACAGTGAGGCAATGACATTTATCAGGAAAAGAATAAGATTTTACTTATTGAGAACAACAATTATAGCTCTTAGAGGAGAAAGAGGGATAAAAAGTGGTAGGGCTGTTAAAATATCAGAACTAGATATAAATTTAGAGCCAACAAATTGAACTGGCTACTTCTACTACTTAAAGGGTTTTTTAAAAATTTACTAAGATTTTTTATTGAATTTCATATTGAATTTTTATATAGGGTCAATGCTATATTATGTGTATATTGTTTGAATTTTTCTGTATTTAGAAAAAACAATAATATCACGTGATCGAGACAGTTTTTCGCCAATATCTAGTCAGGGGAGCATTTTAACCCTATGTCATGGGGGGTGATTAGGAATCAGTGTCCGAAAATACATCGATTGATGTTGGTTTTAACTGTCGGGGGCCCTTTTAGAACAATCTCGAAAATCGACTGTAGAGTGATTTAGTACGCTCGATGAAATTTGATAGATATGAAATATTTTTATTGTTTATACCTTTATTGCTGTGGGTTCCAGGCTTTATTTGTAGGTTTATAACCTACCAAGACGCGCGCCGAGTTGGACTTGTCGACGGTCTTGATTAGAAGCAAATATTTTACAAGTATCACCCGTTAACTACAACAGTCATGTAATACAGGTTATCGTTAATTTCACCGAGAACTTCTACAACTTTATGTTTCCTAACTGCTCATCATCACCCTTATTCTATAAATAAAAATAACAACGTTCCTGCTTTCGCTGTCCTTTTCAACTATTGTCTTAACTACGGATCTTCTTTGGCGTAAGAGCAGCTGCACAAGTCTTCTTTAGGGCAGAAGAATATTTTTTATCTCTGTCTACACTGTTGTTTTAACTAACTTGAGTTCTTCATCCTTCTTTTCGATAAAGTTACGACAGCTGATAACAGAGCTTGCTAATTGCAACAAAATGTAAAGTGATTATTACACACAATATGAATTAAAGTTGTAAAGAATTACAGTTATAAATCTTAATTTATACTGTTAATGAAATGCTCGTTGTAGCATTATATTTTCGCCTTTCCTTCATCATTGATCACTAAGTTTTCTGTCATATACCCTGATATATTTTTTGTCATCAGAGCTGCTGGAGATGAACAAGAAGAAAAAACCAGCCACTCCCTGATATTGAGAATTGGTACAGCTGTTCCTTGGTACAACTATGGACAACTATTTAGAAATCTAACTAAGAAATTTTCTTTATTTGGCTTGCTTCTCAACTAAGGAATAAAAAATTCAAAACACTAGGTCAGATCTTGATCCAGTTTTTTCTTCTTGTTAGTCTCCAGCAGTTCTGATCACAAATGCGAGGACTGAAAATGTACATTTACCCCTCCCCCTCTGGCCTTAACTCAAGAAGGACTAAGACAAGAAGAACTAACACAGAAAAGATACTAAGCACTTAAAAGACAACTATTCAAGTCCAAAACATGACGGTTTCTCTTGTCAAGAACTCAATATTCAAGAACTGGGAATATTTTGGCAGTTGTCGTTAGACATTAAGATTACAGATTTTATTTGCAAAATAGAACATGGTATGTGATATTTGTCCTTAATTGAAATACTGATAGTTGGATAATATCCGGTTGGAAGAGACAAGGACAAGTGAAACAAGGAAGTTAGGAGTAAGGGCAAATTTCCGGTGTCAACGCCATCTTCAGGCTCAAATTATTTGTTATATATGTAGTAGTGTTGAAAGTATTTATATTATCCAACTATCAGTATTTCAATCATGAGACTAATAAACAGCGAACTACTCCGTTATTTGATTGTCCTTAATTGACTACTTAATTCATTGCAACCTGCAGACACCATTGTTGTTTCTAATTTGGAAAATAAAATCACTATTACGTTTCAGACAATTGTCTTTTCTCTTAACAATTGTCTTTTCTCATGAAAAAGAAGTAAAATGCTCGTCATAAATTCATTTTGATTGTATGTTTCTGTAGGATGAAAAAATTTCTCTCTTTGTGGCGTTAAGATGAGATGGCTGATGGGTTCACCCAGCTTCAACTGTTGCAAGGGAGGAAATTTCTCTACTGTGTAAAACAAGGAAATGCATCACAAGTAGAAAAACTCTGCAGCAATGGTGTACCTGGGCTCATAAACTACATAGGTTGATGGAAATATTGGCTATATTAATATAGAAATATTAAATAGGAATCTAAATGATTTTTTCACAGACATACTTACTTCTACACATTTCCGGTTGAAATTTCTATCGTGGTACGAAAACCACATGTTCACTAAAAAGTATTTTCAGTTAACCCAGAGGGAGAAGCAGGGATTCATGCAGCTGTTAAAAATGCTGATATAGACATGATGTTATTGTTGCTAAGTCTTGGAGCAAGTATTGATCGCAGAGATAATTTGGGTAATTAATCATCTGTCCTTTGTAATAATTGATTCCTGATTGAATCCTTATTGATAAAATTGTTATTGATTACATAGAATTTGTTGGAAATAAGTTGGTCCGAAATTTCAAAGTCATTGTTATCATATTGTCGCGAAGTATGAAAATCCTAAATTAATGTGCTACAGTTATTTATTGGTCCAGGGTCTCCTGGTTCAGGGTTCAATGTTTCACTGCAACTAACAATACGCTCCTCAGGCAGAACCTCTCTAATGATTGCTCTGGGTTACGGCTATGACCATGTCATTGATACTCTGCTGGAGGCTGAAGCTAAATTCAATGGTTTGTTACAATGAGAATATCCTAACTTTATGTAGAATATTGATATATCTCTAGAAAATTTATAAATTTACTAAAAACCTGCACGTGAACCTGTTACAGCTACAGTGGGTTTTCTGTTCAAGATTGTAAAGAATTATCGTTAGAAGTTTTCTGAGTATTGCTGTCAGATGATAGTGGTAAAAAGGAAGCAGAAAAAACTAAAACTGAAAGTTTGCTTCATTTGTGCTCTCAATTAGCTAGTCAGTCGCAGTTTCATAAGCTATGTGCTATGCAGCCAGGGTTTGGACTAAATAAACCCAGTAGGTTACAAATTTTCCATCCAATTACATTTTCACGGAATTAGTTATATAACATATTTACTACAAATTATGCGATCAATTTAGTTCAATCACTGCATAAAACATATGCAGATGCAGGATGCAGATTGCAAAAGTGTGATTTGTAGAAATTTTAAAATTAATATGTCATAAAGACATTTAATATTTAATCGTATGCAGAGATTGTGATTAAACAGTCAAGTAATAGTCTAGTCAGAAAGTTATGCAATTTTGAATTGCACAATTTCAAATTGCAACTTCACCTAGTTACCTGCAATTGGGACTTATCGATTTCCACCCAAAATTAGAACTATCAAAGCTCTATAAACAGTTAACTACTCTCAGCGACTGATAAGGAGGGCAGATGTGTAACCTGGTACGCACTCAAACCTACACAGAGACACCTCCGGTGCTTGGAGAAAGTCTGCAAAGTTGGAGCTGATGTTAATGTTGTGGTAAGTTGAGAAAATTTGCAAAGTTGGTGCTCATTTTGGCTCCCCACCTTGAAAAATTGTCACCTACCTTAGTTTGAAAACCAGCTAAATTATAAATATCTCAGACTCGCCCCCAGAAATCAACACAATGACATCTTACTTGAACGAGATTTATACATTGTCAATGTAGCAGTTGTACCTACTGTCATATTCATTATTCATGATTCATCGATATTATCATGATTTAAAACAGTTATTTTAATCATATCAATGGTAGTTGCTACGGTCCATACTCCATAGCTTGAATAGATTATGACTTATCATATCTTTACAGTGATAACTGAACTGAATTTGATTTTATTGATCCAGTCATCCGAATAATCTAAATTCAGTTAGTTATGTGCCTCAGACTAAAATAGAATTTTCTGCGTCACAAAACCTTTGCGTCTGGCATAGTACTTATCCTATAAAAAATAAATGATTCTCTGACGAGCATTTAAACGACCGTTTAAATTATTGAAATTTTGGTAATAATCACACAGATAACATTAACAAGATAAATAACTATTTCCTATCATAAAATAACATAAAAATCTGAAAGGTTATTATATTGGGGATGATACGGTGTCCCTTATTCTAATATTCACTCTGTTGGATCTACACCTAGATTTGGGATAAGAAGTAGTCTCGTGTTCAGCTATAAAACCGCCCGGATCCACCCTGCCTCTGTTAGTAAACTGTTTCAGTACGTTTGGAGTAAAAAGGATGAAGATCACAGGGTTCAGACATGACAAAAAGACAGGGACAATGACCATTGTGGTGAACTCCAACACTTCATCACTTTTATCAGGAAGTCTGTCTTGTGCGTTGTCTATTTGGATCTTAGCGGAGACACAAGCTGCAGCGGTGAGGACTATACCACTCACATTGGTCACCAGAATCTTCAAACTAACCTTCTTGCTGTTAATCTGTGAGGGGGAATCCTCGCTACACTTGGTAGTTTGGAAGAGATGGACCACTGTGAACCCTGATGCTATGATGCTGAGTATCTGGGAGAGAAGTAGAGGCCAGATGCAGAGGAGTAGAACCCTTATATCGTTACTGGGAGCGGTGAAGGTTCTGTTAAGATAGAAAGGGTTAGTTACCATACTCAAACTGGTTCTGTAGATGGCGAACTTGTCTAATGTCACTATACTGTTGACTGCCAGAGTGTACACCAGATACACTCCCACAAAGATGAGAGCGTATCTCACTTTCATTGTTCTGAAGGGGAACCTGATGGTAATAAAGCGGGTGATAGCCAGAACGGCAGTGAAGCAGCTCGGAGCTACTGCTAGGGTTAAGATGAACGCTCCCAGGAACCGTTCACCCGGACCAGGATTAAATTTAGTGCTGCAAATGTAGCCCCTCCCTTCAACCTGCCTGCACTTAGGTGGCTCCTTCACGGCTATCTTTACCATGGAGTTGATGGGCATGATGAGGCATGTTATAAAGTCTGTAGCTGAGAGGATGAAGAAGAGGAACTTGGGGATGCTGTTCTTCTTTCTGAAGTTGTAGAGCATAACCAGAGGGTTGAGGACTACGGATACACAGGAGAGGAGAGCCAGGAGAAGTACTATCAGAACATCAGGGTAACTTAATCCACCTCTACTGAACAACGACATTCTGAGGAGTGTATAAAGATTTAATTAAAGCTGTTAATTTGATATTATGAAAAAAGTGAAGCATAAAAAACAGTGTTAACATTTAACAAACATAAGAAAGGCAAACATACGAAAAGCTCATAAACTTTTCTGCTAAACAGTTACGAAGATCTCATGTCTGGACAATTTATACTCTATAGGGATCCGATCATGACCAGACAAATTTGATCGATTACAGCTTTTAAAAGGTTCCTATTAAAGATGAACTTAGCAGATAGCAAGAATGAGGCAGAATACGGTAGGTATCTCTAGCAGTTAAATTCTGCTAATAGAAACCAACCGGAAAATATTCCCAGAGTAATGTAAGTTTGAGTTATAGGCCCTCGTTGGTACGTGGTTTAACGTGCCACTTAAAACTAACGACTGATGGATGGTTTGAAGCTTAATATTATTAAAATTATGGAATTGCAGGTTACACTGTAAAGCGAATTCAATACTCAATATTAATGGTTCAGTGGGCACCGAAGTGTGAATATGCAAAATGACATTGTTACTGATCACTAATACTGCTCTTTCCGAATGACGTTATGAGTTATCACTTGAATCGCTCTTATCAGATCAGTCATTGTTCATTATTGTTCCTGGGTTCCTTATTTCTAGAATAAATTTATGACTCAGCCCCGTCATCAACGCTCAAGGGAGTATTATAGAAATTAGCAAAAAAATTAAATTTCTATTTACATAAATAATACTAAATCACGCAGCGACTAGTGGAACACACGAAGTAATTGATTCTCGAAGTGCCTTGAACCGATGAGCGAGGAGGGAGAGTGGTTATTCCCTTTATGGTTATAATGGTCACCCTCCTAAATGTTATATAGTTACTGTGGCGCCCATCTTAAACACAAGAACAGGTAACTATAGTAACTATAGTGGCCATAGTTACCGTAGTTACCACAGTACCTGGTTCATTGGAAATCGTGTTCAATTTCGACAAATATAATAAGTTAGCTTTTTAAAGGGAACTCTTGTCAACTTAGCTCGCTTCCTATAATTGTTTTAAAAACGTATGGGATGTAAAGGTAAGTGAATGCTTGTTCATATGCACGGAGTTTTCTTAGAGGGTGAGAGGTTCTTTAGTAAGACCGACTGATTAAATGAGGCTCTAAAATGAACGGAAAGCTAGCATGGAGAGTGGGAAAAATTAAAAGCGGAATAAAATTCTAACTCTAAGTTAACGATAAACTGGTACAGAAATCAAAAGTCCGAACATGGAGTCTAGGAAATAGCTGTGAACCAAATAAACAGAATCAATTCCGCACCTTACACCTAGTCAAAATAATTTTATGCATTTCAAGATTTTAGAAATACATTTTTTGAAGAAATATCCGGCAAAAATCCGGCAAAATTTTCTAAAACCGGACCGGAACCGGAACCGGATATTGAAGCCGGATATCCGGCCAGATCCAGATTCAGCCGGATATCCGGTCGGTTCCTAGCTGGTTCATTGGAAATCATGTTTAAATTTCAATTTCGACAAATACAATAAGTTAGCTTTTTAAAGGGAACTTTTGTCAACTTAGCTCGCTTCCTATAATTGTTTTAAAAACTTATGGGATGTAAATGTAAGTGAATGCTTGTTCATATGCACATTGCACGTGTGCGCGGTGTCAAAGCTTACTAGACTACTACAAAACCGTTTCCTCAACCAACTACAAAACCACCTGAGCACATGTCCTGTGTTAAATGTCTTACCAGACAAGAATTTCTTGTGATTTAAAAATTATCCAATTCTTCACTGATTGGGCGAATAGTAGTTACATTCCAACAATTCTACTTGACCGATTTATTAATAGCCATATTTAATGGTTTATACTTATATTATAACTTAACTATTCAAGTCTCGGAACTAACGCCATAGAATTCTTTAAAACTTAATAATTAGAATTCTAAAATTTTGGAAATATCAATATTCAATATCAGATGCGAAGAAATCATATTATTTCCACAATTACGTAGCTCTTGAAATACTAAGCGTCACAAAATGGCAGATGTTTATTCTCGCTCAGACGACGTGAGATTTGACAAATGACGAGAAAGCAGTTGAACGGACAAATTCTGAGAAAGCTCTAAGTGTCGCCACTCGCCACATGTACCAGTAGAAATGTAGGTTGATCTGAGCGTTACCAGTTGCCCAGTGCTCAAGCTTTAAGTTTCTCCGGATATATGGATAAATAGGAAGGGATTTAGCTAGTACAACTCCCGTTTGATTTATCCATCGCTCCTGAATCACTGTCTGGACAAACTAAAAGCGTAGGATTTGGCTGATTGAGCACCTGATGCGTTTTAATTAATATGGGTAAAGTAGTAGTAAGATCAGACGTTTGAGAAAAATGCTTATGATTATGATTCATGAGGTACAACACTTTAAATTGTTTGTCTCATTTTAAAAGGTTTTAGCGGCCATCAAAATTTGAATACGAGTATTTAAAGACACCATTACTCATACTGGTTACATCACCTTAACAATTCAATAAATACTTGTCAATACTGAACTAGTCGATACTGAACTAGCCAATACTGAACTTTTCGAATGTCAATTCAAAAATTGTAAAATACACTTTACTGTTTAGTATCTGAGTGTGCTTTAATTAAATGTGCATGTATGTTAGTAATATTAGTGATTAATTAACGTGTATAATTTTGAGTTATATTGTGACTGAGTCTACTATAATAATACGCGATACTAGTAACACCTGTACTGACAATCCGGTCGCTGCTGCTGTCCAGCACCAAGGTATTACCGGATATTCATTGTTTGGGTTGTTTGGCAACAGGAGATAATAACGTGCTCAGTAATACTGTAATATAACAGCTCCCACATTAGATATTATTATTACCGGGCTCGTGATCTTATTTTGTTGTTATGGTTACCATCTCTAACTAATGATATTACGTGTGCATTACGAGGGGAGGTGGGGAGAGGAGTTGTGGTAGAAAATTACCAGAGGTCCTGGGTCATTAAATGGAGTCAAACATGGTATGATTTTCTGGTGAAATGTGGAACGGGGAGGCGGGTAGGTTACCAATCTTCGCAAGAAACATTCTGGACATCACGCACAATGGGTTATCCAGTGGTAATGGGGGGGGGGGGGGGGGGGGGGGGTCCAAGGGGAACTTTGGGGAATGGACATCATGAGGAATGTTTTTATAGTTACATATTGTAGAAGTAATCTGCAAGATAGTTACCGAATTATCGTAGACTGGATCGTAATTGTATTGGTCAGAAGTCAGTACTTTACTGGGAAATTACTTTTCTATGGAAAATGTTTCTAGAAATGTTGCATCTGGGGGGGGTTTAGTTGTTAGAAAATAAGTAAGTTTTATCATTATAACCAACATGTCGAGACTTCCAACTTATGATAGCCTGTAGAATGTAAATGGTTTCAAGCAACTTGACTGTGAAAACTGCTGTGAAAGAACATCAGCAGAAATAGAATATTAGTAAATCCCTGAAAATTCACCTCATAGGGAAATAATATTAAACAACCTCCCCCCGTAATCTTATGTAACATTAGTAATATTATACATCTTGTTTAACATTATGTTATTTGTACAGAACAGCAGTACCAGCACCCTATTAATGAAATGTGCTGGACAAGGCCTCACCGCCTCCGCTCAGATACTCTTAAAACACCAAGCTGGCACTGAAATCATCAACGGTGTAAGTAAGCGGTTGGGGAAGTTGGGGTATGTTCATTTTAAAGACCTTAATGACATGTTATCTCTCTGAAGCTCTGAATATTGATTACTCCACAAAAATGTTTTTGCTAAATGTGGCTCTGACTACAAGAGCTCTTTAAATATTTTTCTGCAAGTTATGATCTCTGATGTTTTTCCACGGCCCACGTGATATCCTGAACTACGTGTTCTGCACGTGTTCTGCACGTGTTCTGCACCACGTGTTATCCCTTAATATTTCAGGAGAACCTGACTGCTCTGATGATTGCAGTGAAGGTAAATAACGTAGAAATGGTTGAGTTGCTGGTCAAGTCCGGAGCAAGCATTGATGTGGCGGACAGTGAAAATCTCTCTCCAATACATTGGTAATTTAGTTAAGTATACTGGTAACCATATTGGTAACTATAGTAACAAAACTATTCACGTTAATTTCTTAACATCCTGATACAGATTTGTGCAGTTGTATCGATTGGAGTATATCATTATGTTTACTTAGATACGTGGGAGGCCTCGAGAATGGATTTTTTATCTGTTTCAAGAAATGGTCTGAGTTTAAGAAATCACAGTACAGAAGGTTAAAAAAGGTGGAAAAAATTACGTTACAAATTTTAATAAACTACTTCAGGTGCTGTAAGTTAGGTTTCACTGGACTATTAACCTTGTTACTGAATCATGGTGGCGAGCCAGATAGCCTGACTAACACAGGTAACTACCAAACTGACATTCTATTCGATTCTATACTAGTAGTAATCATGAAATGTGATTATGGTAACTGGGTGGCTCCTACAATTAAGGTTCACTAAATTGGATTAACTGTGGTAACAACAGTTATAGTGTCGCCACTTTAAAACGACTCTAGAGGTAACCAAGGTTCGACCGGAATCCCGGTTTAATCCCGGTCCCGGTCAAAAATCAAAAAATTTTTTTTCTAAATTATCGAAACACTTTATATATAGTAAGGTACCTACGGTATCTTAGAACTTTAGAAGCCATAATAAACCCCTAATTGATATACACAATTGATAAACTAGCAGGAACCCGTATAAACCTAAAATAGTGTCAAGACTCGAGAGACTAAAATAATTATTACCTATTTAATTCGCGTTTTTGACACCACTTGGGGGTTCAAATTTTGGGCTCTAAAACTCCTATTCCTTGGCCAATTTTTTATTTTTTCATGCTGATTTGGAGGCCATTAAAGCATTTGACCCAGTCAAAAAAGTATCAGTTGTATATCTTTTACGGTTTTTGCGGAAAGTCGCGTTAAAGTTGATGCCGTGGTGTCAGTAAAATGGTACGGATAAACACATCCATATATATCGTCTCGCTTTATATATAGTAAGATATTGATATTGGTGAGCTTGGGCCCAAACTCGCAGAGCACAATTCTAGGAGTGAGGTGAGAAACTAAGCGAGTTAATTTTCCGAGCCTCGACATGAAAAATCGTAATGGACAATTTGCTCTCCTTTTTGCCGTAATTATTGTCTTTGAAAATCATGTCTTTAGCCACAAAAGTACCATTACCGAAGCATAGAGCTGGAGATAATTTTCCAAGAAACGTTTTTGCAGATGAAAATTGTTCCCAATTTTCGACTAATGTCAATGATTACTTTTAGATTTTTTGTAAAATAGATTATCATGATCGTAAGTTAAGATATTTGGTTGGGGAGGGCCGGTAGCTCAATTTGTAGAGCACCAGGCATGTAACTCGGAGGTTGGCGGATCATACCCGCCCCGACACTATGCCGGCCCATGATTTTCCGAATCGCTTACCAGTGGAAATATAGTCAATTCAAAATTTAGGAACCGACCGGAACGGCTTTTTTGCTGCCGGACCGGACCGGACCGGATCTCAATAAAAAATCCGGCAAGCCGGACCGGACCGGACCGGATACCGGATTCGGGCTCTTATTTAAAGGCTCGCCGGATTTTACCGGATTTCAAACAGTTGCTGCACGATAATTTCGAATATAGTATCTAGATATATATTATACCATGTCGTTAAACTTAGGAACAACAAAATCAAACTCGATTTCACCCCCTGACGAGCTGGCGCTTGTGCGCCGTGCACGTGCAACAAATATAGCAACAATGAGCTCAGACTTGGAGTCTCCAACCTCTGCACAAATTGGCTTCAGACTGTCTGACATTTTGCGCGAGGCGAGTATCTAAATTAATCTGCTGAGACTTAGTGTCTCGTCTAAACTGCTGTAGGGCGACAGTCAGCCGGGGATCGCTAAGGGGATGATATTTTGATAGTAAAATAGTAGTAAAGTTATAAAAAATATAAGTTCACTCGATAAAAATAGGAATGAGTTTAAAATCCGGTTCTGGCTAAAATCAGCATTAAAACCGGATCGGACCGGACCGGATCAAAAACGGCCGGATACCGGACCGGACCGGACCGGACCGGATTTCCGGTCGGTTCTTAATTCAAATATCTGCTTGCTTGGTACTCATGGTCGATACAATTACAGCCCAACCAACTACATGATCGTAAGTTATATGAAGAAGCCACTATTATAGTATTATGAAAATTACTAAGACATTACTGTACAATTTCGGTTCTTTGTGGAAGACAAATAGTAACGTTTCACTACAAGCACTCTGCACTCATACATAACATTAACAACGCCTTGGTTGATGCGGCTAGTGACCATTATTTAACATTTGCTAGATGTGACCACTGACCACGTGCCATACCTTCGTCCCGGACAATTAATAGAACAATTGTTTTAAATGAAAGGTTATTTTAATCTATAAAGCAGACCTATGAATGCAATTGACCACTCAAATCATGAAGTTTTACACTTTAATAGTTTCCACTTTGGTTTTATTTCAATATTTCTTAATTATTATCTTGAAAGCTATCTCGGCACTTTTTTCAAGTCCCGGTCCCGGCCAAAAAAGCGGTCCCGGTCGATCCTTGGAGGAAGCTGACAAATATATCCTTCTTGTAAAGCTGTATTTATCATCAGGAGATAACTCATATAATATAGTAACCATGTAGTAACTATAATAGGTAGATAATAACTGTATTTATCACAGGAGATACGCCACTTCATTTGGCGGTACAAGGCAGACACACACTCGCTGTTAAAATCCTTCTTAGTAGAGGTAAATAACGATGGTTACTCCTACCAAGTCAATAAAATGTAAAGTTAGAATGATAATCGTTAACTAGTACCCAAACAAGAACTAGAAATTAGAATTATTAGCTGAGATAACTAGAAACTAAACAGATGTCCCCTAGGGGTGCAATGTGAGATTCCTAACTACAGCGCAGTTACACCCCGTAACATCGCCCACCAGCTCAAAGATAAAGTTCTCAAGCGACTTCTGAGAAGGTAGGCGATAAAGGTGCTGCGAGAATGGCATTTAACGAATTATCAATAATGAAAGGGCGTTATCATCGTGTCGTCTAGAGAATGCGTTATCAGGGAAATTATTTGGGAAATTAATGTCGGGAAAATTAGAAAGTAACCAAGTAACTAAGTATTAAGGGTTATAACTACAAAACTACTTATTAACGTTATGCGATAATACACGACCACTTAACCAGCGAAGTTCTCTATTTTTAACGTCATTAAATTAACTGTCATCTCATTCAAACCGCCGAGAAACATATGCGCGGCTACAAAGTCACTTGAGCTGAGTTGGCGTCAAATCACATACTTTTCTGAGATGTTAGTTATTTTGCACGTGTTTGTACGTGTTTTTTCATAAAACACTCATTAGATTTCTCAGTACTGATTGATTGGTTTTTGTATATATTACTGTATTGTAGGCACGAGAACGCAATACACAAAGCATGCGGGGAAGGTAAAATCAGAGCAGGCAAGGACTACTGGAAACTTGTGCTGCTCAAGTGGAACAAGTCTAATTGTGAGGCGTTTATAAAGGAGTGTACCCTGTTTGACGCACTAGGAAATGGGGAGGTTGCTCTGGAAACTTTCATTAGTATCGTTCGTAAACTCAGTGAGTATTATCTAACTATTTTGTAATTTTAATATCACTTTAAATCACTCTTTATACCTACTTAAAATGCTGTATTATTTGATTTCTGATGGACCCTCATGATTGTAACATTATATATATCATGGGGGAGGGGGTCGCATAGTAAAATAGTAAAATATATTTTTTCAGAGACCCCGGTATCAGATAGACAGTTAGCAGAGGTACTCAAATCATGTGACTCTGGAAAAGTTAACTACACTGACTTCCTGTTAGGCCGGCTGTTTATCAAGCTTATAACATACGATAACTTTGCTCGCTGCAAGAAAAAGAAAAAATCTGGTCGAAAGGGCGGCAGGGTGATTATTTTAGTGTTTGTAAAGATTTATTTGATAATTCTTAAAACATCAATCTTACAAACCCGTGCCTTACATGGCTTCTAATGCACAACCGATTGAGCCGCGCTGTATCCGATATAATATCATGTGATATTCCTATTTATTTTATGATATTTTAATTTGTTTCCAGGGGAAGAAGAAGAAGATCCCGCTTCATATTGTAGTTGAGAAGACTAGAGTTTCTCCTTTTACTAGGAGCGAGGACGTAGTGGAAAAGATGGAGGTTAGAACCTATAAGTGTTAATTAGTGGATAGTTAGCTTTATATACTTATAATTAGGAGATAATTAGTAAATACTTAATTTAGTATAAATGGATGATAACATGATTATTATTGGATTGCTCAAAATGAAGAAAGTAACGACCACAAATGCCTTATATTGTACGGCTTTGCATGCACCCCCTCCCACAGCCCGGCTACGATGAGATTATGGGTAGTGCAGCGTCTGACAAATCTTATATTTCGCCCATAAATCTAACTTTGCTAGAGTCACCGTCCTGGCCAACAACAGGTTAAATAATCGTGTTTTTTTCCAACAAGTAATTATGTGCTGCAGTATTGAGAAATAATAGTATTTTATTGTAAAAATATAGAACGTATTATAATATCGCGACCACGAAGTATTATGCAGCGACCACTGCGTGACGGAGAATGAAGCTTGAAATTTATTCTAAATCACGCAGCTTATCGATACTTCTGTGGTCGCAGTATAATAGTCTTATAATGTGGTCTTTATTTTAAGCAATAAGATTCCAATAATTCTGTGGTTACTACATGTGGTTTTCATATTGAGCAATTAAATGCCAATACTTGTTAAAACTAACCTCTAACCTCCTTCCCATTCACTTCATTATTGGAAACATGAAAACCGCTCGTCAAAACGGAGCCATGTTGGAGGAGTGTTTAAAAGTAATTAATCTTGAATGTTCCTATTTTTCTTCATCATAATATAGCACATTGTGAACAGTGCACACTCTTATCACTTGATGATGACAAATTCTAAATATCCCATGATCGGTACTTTTTCCGGCATCAAACGACATGAATCACAATAAAACATTTGAAAAGACAAACTCTTTGCGTACGTGTGAGCGTCATCATGACGTCACCCAACACAGCTACTATAGATGTAATCATGTAAATTGTAATAAAAGTAAAGCTAAGAGAGAGAAAGTAAAGCAATAAGATAAAGCAGAAGCCGTGACAAGGGTCGCTTGGGGTTGAGGAAGCAGACTTATTAGAAAGGGAGACGTTTATGAAGCTGAGGAAGCGTTCACTTGTCAATAATATCTCAAATTTAATATCTAATCTGTCTGGAGAAATTACACTGTGCAATTCAAATTAGGTACTGGTCGCCCACTGTACGCACTGTCATATTGTGAGTTATTATTGTGAGTTATTGTGATTTGGAAAGGTACGCCACGGTACTTCAGTATATCACCATCACTGTATTTAGTATAATACGCCCTCTTAAAATCAGCGATCCCAATTCAAATCGAGGTGTTTCCCTTGGCCCGAAATAAAGTGCATACTTATACTTATACTGATGATTTATATTGTTGCCTCGGGTTAAGCAGGTCCAGGTGGTGCAGCAGGCAGCTGGTTATGTATAAGGTTATATTATCTAAAAATATTTGAGTCTTGCAATGCAGACAGTTGATAGGCTCTGTTCTACTTAATGTGATTAATGCACGTTAGTTAGACAATGTAAATGCAGACTGTTAATGTTGTGTGATTATGGTTGGAAGATCAAGCAAGATATTTAATATTTTAATCATTTCACCGTGCAATAATTGAAACACATTAAATGGTGTTCTCTATTTAAATCTTCAAGAAAAACAATTAGAGTTGAAGCTAAAATTCCCAAATTATAATCTCTCGGTACAGCTCACTTCTTGGAATCACTTTTCACACCAGTCCAGTCCGATCTGTAGATCGTCAACAAGTAAAAAGCTTAATAGCATGAAGCAGAGCAATTTTCACAGAGCCAGAAACACCATGGAAAGTTATGTTCTAATGTTAAACGGTAACTTATCACAAGCACAACTTGTTTACTTTTACGTGCACATTTACTGATTAAAACTCTGACATTTGTAAAGGTGGAGCAGGTTGGTAACTCTGGCGCATGACGATAAGTTCTAAGTAAGTTTGGTAGGAGGCCTCTAGTCGCCTCCTCATTTCCGAATAACCCCATTACTTATCCCCATTATCACCTATAAACTATACTAATCAGTAATCACCTCTAATCACCTCTTATCACCTCTAATTACCTCTTATCACCTCTAATCACCCTTATCACCTCTAATCACCTCTAATCACCTCTATGACCGCAGCACTTTACGGACACAGCTAGGTTTCCCAGAGACTGTCCTCCCAAAACATTTATAGAAGATGATAGCTCCTGGTACATGGCGCCTCCCTGTAAGTTATCTGTTGTAAAACATACCTGTAAAATGTTCAATAACACTACTACAAGTTGTTGAAATAGATATCTCAGTTATGGTTGTGTGTCTTAATGGCGGTTTTTAGGATTCAGTTTGCTTACTTTCAATATATAAAACTGTGTAGTTATTAACTTTTCTAATAAAACTTTGGTCCCTGTGCTGATGATAATAATATTATTATCATTTCAGCTACAACCTACATTAGGCTTCACAAAGCCGCGCAACTAGGCGATCTCAAGACTATCGAGGCAGCTTGTGAGGACCAAGTTGATCTAAACCAGACCGACAAGTTCCTTAAAACCCCACTCATGGTGGCAGCTGCTAACGGCAGAGCTCACATTGCTCACATTCTTCTCAGACATGATGGGTATGTTCACATACCCATAATCTACTAACTAGGGCGGCATAGAGTTGTCGGGGCCATTGTAGTAGGGCGAAGAATGCGTGTTGCTGTTTATGTAATCGCGAGTGAACCTATACAAATTCTACGTGGGTCTCCTAAGATCAGATCACGTCAATTCATAAGCGATGTTGAAATAATTGATAATCTGATAAAAGGGTGTGAATCGTCTAAGCAAGGGGCGATTTGGTCACATCTGAATTAAGTTTTAAACATAACGCGCGATGACAATTTTGTAGTAAAAACCGAATCGCGACCATTGTGTGTAGTCGAATTGTTCACGTGTCGCGCGCATTTTGAGTAAAAATGGAAGGAATAATCACAATTCATAGCGAGAGACAAATAGCGGGAAATCATTTTGGATACGATCGTTAATGGGAGTTACGACGCAACATCTTATGACAGGGTCTACCAGCGGTGGCAACCTGGATATAAACATAGACTGGTAGATTTATTGAAATAGGACTGCCTGGTAAGTAAGTGCATTAATAAATGTCGAATGATTATCCTTCAAAGTACGAATATTTGGCAAATTGCGACACGTTTGTCCCTTTAATCGCGTGCGAGAAAAACAAAATAGACGCAAATATTATTTGCGTCATACTCATTTTGATTTCCACGATTTGTTATTTGAAATAACAAATCGTGGAAATCAAATGAGTATGAGATGAAAGCAACCTTGCTAGTAGTTAAGTAGCTGCCTGAGGTAACCGAATACATATGGTTACGAAATATATTCAGATTCTTCTTTCTAAGTTCGGTATTGAGTAACCGAATACCGAGTCGATATAATTCCGAATATTTGCGATTCAGTAACCACGTAACTGCAAGTAGATCAAACTGTCGTGTTTAGGTGTTTCATTTAGGATAAAAGCTAAAACCTAAAACCCACCGATGTAAAGTGATTTATGCATATGCAATATGCAAGTTGCATAATTGTTACAACTATTCTACTAAGTTAGATTCGTACAAAGAGCTCTTATAATATTCAGTAACACTATATATATAATATCTCATGATATTGAAATGGATGCGATTTAATTCGTCTGATATGAATTCGTTTAAAATAAGATTAAGTCTACAGCAATAAATTAACAGGTCACTACAGTAACTGTAAAAGGCCATAAACTGCAGAGACATGAATATATTAACCATCGCAACCAATGCAATCTCTTGAATAATAATAGCTTCATACTGAAATTAAAATCGCTACTTCATACTTCCCCGCTACCCCAGTCTGCATTTCTCAAATTTACTGCTTTACTGCTTCACATGAGGCAATGCTCGATGAAGTGCTAAGATATTTCTAACCTACAGGGTGGATGTAAATATGAAGGATAATTTCCAATGGACGGCCCTGCACCATGCTTGCCATGCCAATCAGCCTGACATAGCTCAACTCCTGGTGGAACACAACGCAGATTTTGACTCTCAGGCTCTCAACGGAGGTAGGGGCTTTTCACTTTATTGTTATTATCACCCGAATAAACTTATACTGATAAACAGATAGTGCAATTCAAGAATAAATAAATACACTTCTCTTAGAAGCAGGAGCTCTTAAATTGTCCACATTTTGCCAGGTACCCCCCTTATGAGAGCCGTAGAGAGTGGCAGTACTGAGATAGTGAAAATATTGCTGGCTCGTGGAGCCAAGATAAACCTCCGAACCAAGAACGAGAAGACAGCATTGGATATAGCTTACGAGTGGGGCAACAGTGAAATAATCGACTTGATTACCACTTCGATAGCAGGTACGCTGATAAACCTACAACTTGTCATTCTTTATATTACATATTTCACAGATATTAAGATTAAAATAGTAGACACTTTACTGTAATATCATTGTTTTGAAGAACACCACAAAACTAAGTCGGTTAATATGTACCCCGTATCTAATGATTACAACTCCAGAACGGCAACTAACGAAGAAGAGGGGTAGGAGGAAGAGTGGTAAAGTGGGGGGCAGGCAGCCAGACAGTAGACAGTTGGACAGTGGGGCGAGCGCCCCCTTCCTAAAGAGTGCCCCCGAGGAGCGCAGCAATGTGACATTCTCTGCGGAGACCAAGCCCGGCACAGCTGAAGTTCCTCTCTCTAAGTCTGCTATTGCCTTCAACTCTGGCCTCTCAGCACCTGACGGTAACTTCAGATCTGCTTCAGCTCCTCCTGATCTGAACAAATCAGTACATTCTCTGAGACGGAGAACTAACGCCTGGGCCCACAAACCTCCCACTACCGAGGACCTGCTCAACTATAAGGTGGAGCAACGGAAACGCTTCGGATTTGAGGTGGCAGACTTTAAGAAACCAAGATCTCCCTTTACCAGTGTCATCGAGGATAAAATGAGGCCTTATATTCTGGTGAGCTCCCAGGGTGGCAGGCCTAAATCCTCCGTGGCCAGTACCGGATAAGATTTTAAATTGTTGGTATGTTATCTGATTGTGATTGTATCTGCAGTGAAGTACCTCGACACAGCGCATATCTGTGATATTTAACTTTACAGCTGTGGAGTGTAGGGGCTAAACAATACTGCATACTTTAGGGGTGACTGTTAAATTAACTTTGATTTATTTGATTCACTAACAATGCACAGGGAGGTTTTTTAAAAAGTATGAAGACATATTTCAGGGTATCTAACTAGGAGCGATAATTGACATACTTGATGTAAAACTTGTTAAATAAACCCTATTTGTGAGCCTAAAGAATGTTTTAGCCGAGATAACGTCATCTTGAATAGTGCGTTTGCAAAAATGCCAATTTCAAATGATTTTATCCAACATCTTAGCCACATTTCGGACACACTAAGTAAATAGCAAAGTGAATAAAGTTGGCAGCCCCAAAATAACTTTAATAATCTGTGGTATCGTATTTATTTCTGGGTTATATAATTTTTGTTAAATAACGTGTGTTTTGGTAATTTTATTAATGCACAAAGTGATCATGGCGTACGTGTGTACTTTGTTAACAAAGAAGATACATTTTATATTGTAATATAAAGCTCTGGACCAATGCATTGTTGATATAATTGAACATTTTAGATTATGATAAAAAGATATAGTCTCTTGTCAGTGCCCTTAATCACCGATAACATCTTACAAACGACAAGTCCTCTTATTACTTGATTTGAGAACAGAAGAAATAACCTTTTATTTTATATTCCGTTTACACATTGACAATAACTGCGTTATTGAGGGATTATATTGAAATCCATTCCCCCGTCTCTAACTCACACCAATATTCTTGACACAGTACTTTCGGAATTATGTTTTTCCAGTCCAATTTTTTCCACTGAAGACAGGGAAGAGTTGTTAAACAGCGTTTGTCTGTTGGTTTAAGGAGGTATAAACTCCAACTCCCTCTACTTACAGCCCGCAAACTCAAGTCTACTGATGACGAGGTCCCCCCTGGCCTCGTAAAGATGAGTCCTGACTCTGATACTGAAGTTAACAGCAGGTCCGATGTGAAGGTCGTGTGAGCGGAGTCTTAACGACACTACTCGGGACTTGACCCGCAGACTGGTGCTCCACAAAGGGCTGGTTTTATCTCCTGTCACCATCACCAGCTCCAGCGAGGACAACCACCACTGTCCTGGGGAGGGTATTGTACAAGTTATCAAATTCAAATGTATGGAGCTAAACTTGGAACAAAAATACTGCACAGTCGCTGGAACGATTTCTCGTTAACAGACCCCCTCCTTTCAGAGACGACAACAAATTAAATAATGTAGTTTGTTGTATCGGTTTAACTGTTTTTCTTACAAACGATTCTTTGCGTTCGCAGAACTTCTATTCTGTTGAACTTAAATAAATGAGGTAAAGAGTCTCTTCTTTGACCACTTCACTTATTCCGGATAATTCTCGGCTGCGATTTTAAACAATCAGTGGCGAGACTGTTGTGACTCATCCTGCTATTACTAATAGTGGTATTGAGTGGGAGTTTTAGGAAGCTTGATACATCCGACCAATTAGATCTGTTACGGATGATTCATGATGCCCGTAAATATTTTTTTCTGATACATATTAGACCTGGCAATGGTTGTAAACCTGCAAGACTATTATCATTCTAGGGATTTCAGAAGGAAGGGAAGGTCATGAACCAGGACTTTAGCCTTCTTTACAGCTCTGAGGATCTATAATTTACCTGATGTTAAGAAAGAGATATGCAGCGTGCAGGTCTCCCTTGTCTGCTTAGTAAATACAGTGCTTTCCAGTATGTCCAGACTCTTCAGGGCAACGGAAAAAGATTTCAAGTTTTTAAGTGAATCTTGCGTCTCCAAAGCAATCCCTAAAGTGGGTGTGTTTCACATCTTGTGATTGCGTAATTTCGTGAAAACCGGACCCCCATAAAATTGTGAAACAAACGTTCTTATTCTCGAAAACTTTGATTACTTAATCGACAGCCAGACCCCAACCCCCCTTCGCCAACAGCCAAATCAATCATGATAAAGGTGACTGATCACTTATAAAGTTATAAACATAATATGATATTATAAAAGAATCGTACGCTCCATGTACGATTCAATTGTTATGGTACTCACCAGTACCCCCACTCAGACTCCAGGTACCGTTAGAATCGAATGTTTTCCAAACTCTGCAACTCACTCCGGGCACTCCACAAGGAATACTCCGTTTGTCTGGCATAGGCTTGACAATAGATAATGTTAAGCATATAAAATATATTATATTGATATTGGGGACAACTTGGTAAAAATAGTTAAACTGAAACATATGTGGTTTTGTATTCTGGTCTAATGTTCAGATTAAAAAACTAAAACATTCCCGGGAAGAGCTGACCCTCAAAAATGAACAACTCGAAATTTGGAGGCCAGCTTTTCGCGTATGTCGTATAGTAGTACTACTACTAGTTAACTTGGTGAGGGCTGCACTTTAGTTCCTTGTTGGCTCACTTGGTAAAGGGTACACTTTCTCCTCCACCAGTTTGGGGACTGAGTTTGGCAAGATTCCAAACATTCCTGATCTTCTGGTAGGCATGCTAGTTGTTTGCAAGGGGGGCACAGCTTGTTACAGCCGGGACCATACCACGCCTTCTTACAAACGCATTCGTGCTCTCCTGCAGGGAGACACATTGTCATTAAATATCATCAATTTTCACATAATTTATTTTGATGAATTGAGCGATTCTTGTCAAAATCCCAAGTTTCATTGGTTTTGGCTACGTGTGGCTTCTTTTCATGTAACTCTAGAACCGAGACATGCTTGACAGCTCAACAGCTAATCGTTTTTGTTGATATTCTTTGTGATAATTTAAGGACATCTTTGCTTATCTATTTTCATAAAAACTGTAGCGCGGATAATAGATCTCGATTCAAAAGTTCAAAGTCATTAAAATGAGCAATGAGGCTCGACTTATAAAAAGAAATACCCGTATTATTTGTCCCCATTACACAGTACCACATGTTATATTTAGCAATATAACATTCTTTGAACTCAAAAATCCCATCAAAGTTAAAGTTAGTACTTAGTGTCCTTTTTAAACAACCAACTGCAATATTACTGCTCCACAATCATTTGTTTTTGATGAGATACTTTACGACTACTTTAGTGAGAATTTGATGAGATTCTTTGTGACTGTTTTAACACACATGAGTTTCTCATAAATATTTATAAAAACTCTAGCGAGGTGTAATAGAGCTCTTTTCAAAAGTTTCGAGTGAGCTATAATATTCGTGCTAACAAATTTATCAAAGGTTTTGGTTAACGGAATCGAATCTATCGATTCTCCCTCTATTGTGCTAGTAACTCAGTTGCATTGATAGAAAAGGTTAGTAACTTCATGTCCCATAATGCTAAATTCTACTCAGAAAAGAGTTTTGGGCACTATCCAATGGAATATCGAACTGTTCTGATGATAGAGATGAAACTTACAGTATCTGATCAACTTTTACCGTATCTGCAATGTTACTGCAGATATTGTCACGAGACGAAGTTACCCATACCGATCGCATGACTTGGAGACGAGTTTGAATATTTCAAAAATGGAGAGGACGAAAATAGGATTTGGCCGATTAGCCGTTTATAGCATTTCTCGTACATTTTGTTGCAGGAATATTAGTAGAACTAGAAGTTTAAGTCACTCAATTTCACCATGCGTCAAAGTAGACTTCACTCTCTTCCTGATAATTGGATTGGCTGGTCCAACTGCATCAATTATGCTACCCAAATTCTGATATGCAAGCAGCAATTAAGTTTCTTATTGAGAAATATTCCCATAGATATATCTGAATGGCACGTCCCCAGACCAATGACATAAAAATGTTTTATTCATGAACATTGCAAGCAGAGGGTTCGTGCTTTGTTGTGGCAAGTAAACCCGTTGCTAACTTCCCATATTCATAAACCGAGGATTAAACAAAGGCCATTATGCCATTAGAAAAGCCATGATGGACAATACCCCAGGCTAGAGCGTCGAGACGGCCTTGATCGTGAGAGAGCTGGGTCTTTGGTCAAGAAATCCGATGGCCTTGCTGACTCATGTAACATTTGTTGTCCGTTCTTTAAGTAACCCTTGTGTGTTATCCGTGCCTATTCTCAAAATATTTTTCTAGTACCAACAAGTCAGATACGAGACCTCGAGATCTGATTGTAGAATCGGGAATTGGATACGAAACCCTGATATTATACTGATGAGTCATGATCAGATATTTACTGACTCGTTTCTATATGTGCTACATAAGACGACTGTTTTTAAAGGTTGATAAAATATCTACCAAAAGGAAGAAAGCTAGAAGGGAAAAAAACGTCGATCAGCAAACGTGTTGAAGAACGATGAAGAACTAAGTGAGCAATCAGCAACCAGAACCGGATGAAGAACAGAAACACTCTAACATGGAAGATCCTAATACTTCAATAAAAAAATGGGCATCTGCAGATGATTTGAGTACATCAGAAAGAGTTTAAATAATGAAATTATGACAGGGGACTGTATAATAGTTCATAAAGAGTGAGAATATTCCTGGTGATGAAGTAACAATCGAAGAAAATGATGTTTATCAGAAGAGTTTTATACTTGACGTTAAGTCATTTGGTCGGCAGAACATCGCTCAACATGTTATTGGGAATCCATGGACACTGCATGACACACTGGCACAGTATGACGATATTATTTTGGCTGATGAAGATGTAATTATTGCAGAACAATCTATTGCAGAAAAATCTATAAACATAGAGAAAATGGAAGGAATAACGGAGGAACCGTCAGTCAACTTCCTAGAAAAAGAACACAGGATTTTAATTGTTATAGAAAAGAGAGGAAATCACTCCATAATAGCCGGGATCAAAACAATCAGGCCATTAATGTTGAATTATTTTTATTACTCTAAACATCGAATTCACGAACATTTCTACCGATATTATTAGTGATCCCACAACATGAAATTCAATCGGATTTTTAAAGGATCGATGAGACGGTATTTTTGTACAAAAAATGTGGAAGCCCCAAAATTCAAAGAAATAGCTTTTTTTAGATGATCAAATTCTATTTAAAAAGGATACAATACACATTCTAGATAGCTGTACTAAATAGCTGATATGAATGTTGCAGCGTTTTTTAAAGCATTTTCTTGACTCCATATTTGTTTTTCGACACCGCAAACATTCAAAAAATAATTTTGATCTTGATTCACATATAATAACTTGATGTTTTACACTTTACAGTTATTGGAGGTGATGAGGAAATAATTGCATCATTGAAAAGAAAAAAATGATTAAATTGTAACAGTTGCATCTAGTGGAAATGGTAGAATGTATAATATGTGCATTGTACTGTCTGTACAGTGTACACTGTACATACTGGATTGCTACCTAGCTCCTTAAGAAAGTAGGTCTGTGCAAATTTTGCTTTACAACTGTAAAGTACTGTATATTGTTCTTGTAGAGAGGAAGAACTAATATTAGCTATATTTACTTGCATTAACTATCTAGCAGTTATTGTATTGGGCAATGGCAACTAATCTTCAGGTTATTACTGGGAACAAACCAAAGCCTGAATTGCTTCAGTTAATTGATGATGGTATGAAACCAAATTGAGGTACTGGGAGTCAAAATCCTGAATAAAATTGCAAAATCATATTGTCCCAATCTCTGTCCCATTTTCAGTTTTTGAAGATGAAATTTCCAGGGCTGACATTTTACAGATTTTACAGATTTTTTCACCCGTAACCAATTAGTAAGTCAACTATAGATGCCATATGACACGATTGAGGTGCTGGAAGTTCGATTTCGGTTGGAGGAAGCCCACAGCAGAAAGCTTAACAAAACGAAAAGTTGTATTTTCAAAATTCTGTCCCATTTTCAAATATGAAATTTTCTGAACACAAACTTGACAGATTAATCCAATCTAGATTGGATGAACTTTTTGCCCAAAAACCAATTAGTCAGTTGATTGATGATGGTATGAAACCAAATTAAGGTACTGGGAGTCAAAATCCCGAATAAAATTGCAAAATCATATTGTCCCAATCTCTGTCCCATTTTCATTTTTCGAAGATGAAATTTCCAGGACTGAAATTTTACAGATTTTACTGATTTTTTCACCCGCAACCAATTAGTAAGTCAACTATAGATGCCATATGACACGATTGAGGTGCTGGAAGTTTGATTTCGGTCGGAGGAAGCCCACAGCAGAAAGCTTAACAAAACAAAAAGTTGTATTTTCAAAATTCTGTCCCATTTTCAAATATGAAATTTTCTGAACACAAATTTTACAGATTGGATGAACTTTTTGTCCAGAAACCAATTAGTCAGTTAATTGATGACTGTATGAAACCAAATTGAGGTACTGGGAGTCAAAATCCCGAATAAAATTGCAAAATCATATTGTCCCAATCTCTGTCCCATTTTCAGTTTTTGAAGATGAAATTTCCAGGGCTGACATTTTACAGATTTTACAGATTTTTTCACCCGTAACCAATTAGTAAGTCAACTATAGATGCCATATGACACGATTGAGGTGCTGGAAGTTCGATTTCGGTTGGAGGAAGCCCACAGCAGAAAGCTTAACAAAACGAAAAGTTGTATTTTCAAAATTCTGTCCCATTTTCAAATATGAAATTTTCTGAACACAAACTTGACAGATTAATCCAATCTAGATTGGATGAACTTTTTGCCCAAAAACCAATTAGTCAGTTGATTGATGATGGTATGAAACCAAATTAAGGTACTGGGAGTCAAAATCCCGAATAAAATTGCAAAATCATATTGTCCCAATCTATGTCCCATTTTCATTTTTTGAAGATGAAATTTCCAGGACTGAAATTTTACAGATTTTAATGATTTTTTCACCCGCAACCAATTAGTAAGTCAACTATAGATCCCATATGACACGATTGAGGTGCTGGAAGTTTGATTTCGGTCGGAGGAAGCCCACAGCAGAAAGCTTAACAAAACGAAAAGTTGTATTTTCAAAATTCTGTCCCATTTTCAAATATGAAATTTTCTGAACACAAATTTGACAGATTGGATGAACTTTTTGCCCAGAAACCAATTAGTCAGTTAATTGATGACTGTATGAAACCAAATTGAGGTACTAAGAGTCAAAATCCCGAATAAAATTGCAAAATCATATTGTCCCAATCTCTGTCCCATTTTCATTTTTTGAAGATGAAATTTCCAGGACTGAAATTTTACAGATTTTAATGATTTTTTCACCCGCAACCAATTAGTAAGTCAACTATAGATGCCATATGACACGATTGAGGTGCTGGAAGTTTGATTTCGGTCGGAGGAAGCCCACAGCAGAAAGCTTAACAAAACGAAAAGTTGTATTTTCAAAATTCTGTCCCATTTTCAAATATGAAATTTTCTGAACACAAATTTGACAGATTGGATGAACTTTTTGCCCAGAAACCAATTAGTCAGTTAATTGATGACTGTATGAAACCAAATTGAGGTACTAAGAGTCAAAATCCCGAATAAAATTGCAAAATCATATTGTCCCAATCTCTGTCCCATTTTCATTTTTTGAAGATGAAATTTCCAGGACTGAAATTTTACAGATTTTAATGATTTTTCACCCGCAACCAATTAGTAAGTCAACTATAGATGCCATATGACACGATTAAGGTGCTGGAAGTTCGATTTCGGTCGGAGGAAGCCCACAGCAGAAAGCTTAACAAAACGAAAAGTTGTATTTTCAAAATTCTATCCCAATTTCAAATATGAAATTTTCTGAACACAAATTTGACAGATTGGATGAACTTTTTGCCCAGAAACCAATTAGTCAGTTAATTGATGATGGTATGAAACCAAATAGAGGTACTGGGAGTCAAAATCCCGAATCAAATTGCAAAATCATATTGTCCCAATCTATGTCCCATTTTCATTTTTTGAAGATGAAATTTCCAGGGCTGAAATTTTACAGATTTTATTGATTTTTTCACCCACAACCAATTAGTAAGTCAACTATAGATGCCATATGACACGATTAAGGTGCTGGAAGTTCGATTTCGGTCGGAGGAAGCCCACAGCAGAAAGCTTCACAAAACAAAAAGTTGTATTTTCAAAATTCTGTCCCATTTTCAAATGTGAAATTTTCTGAACACAAATTTGACAGATTGGATGAACTTTTTGCCCAGAAACCAATTAGTCAGTTAATTGATGACTGTATGAAACCAAATTGAGGTACTGGGAGTCAAAATCCCGAATAAAATTGCAAAATCATATTGTCCCAATCTCTGTCCCATTTTCAGTTTTTGAAGATGACATTTCCAGGACTGAAATTTTACAGATTTTATTGATTTTTTCACCCACAACCAATTAGTAAGTCAACTATAGATGCCATATGACACGATTAAGGTGCTGGAAGTTTGATTTCGGTCGGAGGAAGCCCACAGCAGAAAGCTTAACAAAACAAAAAGTTGTATTTTCAAAATTCTGTCCCAATTTCAAATATGAAATTTTCTGAACACAAATTTGACAGATTGGATGAAATTTTTGCCCAGAAACCAATTAGTCAGTTAATTGATGATGGTATGAAACCAAATAGAGGTACTGGGAGTCAAAATCCCGAATAAAATTGCAAAATCATATTGTCCCAATCTATGTCCCATTTTCATTTTTTGAAGATGAAATTTCCAGGGCTGAAATTTTACAGATTTTATTGATTTTTTCACCCACAACCAATTAGTAAGTCAACTATAGATGCCATATGACACGATTAAGGTGCTGGAAGTTCGATTTCGGTCGGAGGAAGCCCACAGCAGAAAGCTTAACAAAACGAAAAGTTGTATTTTCAAAATTCTAACCCAATTTCAAATATGAAATTTTCTGAACACAAATTTGACAGATTGGATGAACTTTTTGCCCAGAAACCAATTAGTCAGTTAATTGATGATGGTATGAAACCAAATTGAGGTACTGGGAGTCAAAATCCCGAATAAAATTGCAAAATCATATTGTCCCAATCACCTGATAAATCAAATAATAATTTAATTGTTTTTTACCCTGATATAACTGGCAAATACCAGACACACAAGCTCCTTTCAGCGCACACTTCCCTCTCCCTGAGAAGATAAGAACTGTCAGTATTCAATGGTCACTAATTTATATCTTTCCACATTCTACAATAATGATATTCATATACAAAAATATGAATACCTTAAATAACGGTGATCTCTTGTTTTTTGTCATCTCTATCATAATGATATCTTTAGTACAGTTGTGAAGTAGTAAGTAGTGTGTAATAATAGTAGAACTATACAGTAGTAGACTTTAGAACTATTTTCTCCTTACCTTGACAGCTGTACATTTTATGAAGAAGTTGTTTATCTCCTTGGCTCATTCCGCGCCGCTGTCCAATTATTGCACTTTTGTCTAATGGTTCAATAACAGGCAGTCCATTCTTACTAAACTGAGGGGATGATATTAAGTGAGAAATCAAGGAGGAATATTTTTAGCGAATTCTGAATACATCCAAAATTTCAGAGCAAATTCTTAGGCAAGAAGTTTGGGTATATATTTGCCAAAAATTATGTGCAGAAAAAAGTCCATGAGTTCTGTAGTGTGTGATGGAGTTTAAGAGTCTCCGTTACCTGGTGACCACTGTAGTGCATAATTGAGTTTAAGTCGTACGTTTCATTGAACCAAGTCACGTAGTCTTCAGGCTCTCTCAGAAAGTTCCTCCAATATCTAAGCTGAAGGGGTTTTACATAAACTTAAAGTAAAATAATTGACAATGCGTTTGTTTTATAACGGCATCATATCAATTACATGCAAGGAGAATTTAAAAGAGCTCACATCCATATTGTCCCAGTTGACTCTGATATGCTTGTCCCTGTCTATTCTAGCGATAGTGTGCCACATGCCGACAGTGTGGAGCAGCTCGTGCAGAACATTACCCCGGGACGAACAACCCCTTCCCACTGCGGTTATCTGAGCTCCTCCCTGCATCCCAATGTCAGAGTAACATCCCCCCAAGCTGTCATACAGTACCACATAGTCCTCATCTTCACCCCTTTTCTCCACAAATCGTACACAAGAGTGCAGTTCTATCTCCCAAATAGCACTTTCTATCCGTCTTCGGTACGAAGGTAAATCCAGCTCCAGGGCGGGCCACATAACGTAGGGTATCGTACCATTAGGCCAGTAATAGGACCTGTCTGTGTGGGCTGCTCCGCGGGCAACTCTCACTTTACCTTGCCCTACAAATTCACTCTTATCCAGCAAATCCAACTCTGCAACGGGACTGATATTAATAATAATTGGGTGAAGACAGGGGGTAGGGACGAAAAGGCGATGATTATCAAACACTCATGATTAACTCACTCAATCGCACTCACATCAAAGATCAGTAGGTCTGGTGTTTGTTCGTATCCAAGAAAGCCGACCCTAACCCCCAAAGTTGTCTACCCTATTGTGTATCCTTATAGTTTGGACTTCTTGGATACTGTTCGATAGATATATATTATTATTTTATAATAGTCCACCAATTAAGCCTACTTTCATGTATCACGTGACACTCCACTTTCCGCTTGAGTTCACTTTTGTTGAAACATTTTGTCATCATTAGTTGGTTACTCCTAAAATCACCCCACTCAAGTGCCACATGATTACCTTTCACAATTTATAACTCACGGGAAGATTATTTTAGTCAGTTCTGTGGATTATTATTGATTGTACCGAATAGTTATATAAGTTTTTTTACAGTTTTATATTTCTCTTCCACAAACCTAAAATTTTAGGTCTTTTATCTTGTATCCTACCACTAAAACGAACAGCTTGGCACTAAGCCAAGTGCTACAATACTACTAAGTACTACTACTAGAAACGTTAAGCTTTTTCGTGACTGGCCAGATATAAGAGTGAAAATAAGCGAAAACTGTGATATTTTTTATGAAGGAGCACAATTTCAGAAAACGATATGAGAACATAATTAACCTCAATGTATAAAACTAAGGAAAATAGAAATAACTTTGCGGAGAATGCACGTGCACGGGTATTTAATTCAGACTACCTCAGTTGAAGGGAAAACTTTCTGTAGACCATTGTACTTTGATCTTTTTACCATTTGACGTTTAAAATTTTCAATTTGAAACTTGCTAAACAACAGAGGCAAAACACGAATCTAACAAAAAATTTGAGATGACTGATGTAGTTTTAAATTTGAACTGCTCCGAACACGCTATCTATTCGAGGATCCTGAGTGGCTGTGTTTATATAATCAAATTCGGGCTCACGTCACCAGACGTATTTTTGAGGAGAGTCCACAAACGACAAGCAAAACGGTTGAGAAAAAGAGGAGTAAATATTAACGCGAGTGGGTTTGAGTATGCTGTAGCTGAGAACATTCTCATTGATCTCAAAGTTTTGCCGTCCCCTCTAATTCCTGCAGGTCTTTACTCTCCACTGCGACAGCTTCTTGACATTTACGGAAAAGAGGCAAGAAGCAAGTTCATATCGGATACATTCAAGGACACCAATCCCACCAATATGTATGTGCTCCAAGCTCTGCTTAAAACCATGAACCTACTGGGAACATTTGAAAACAGCTGGAAATGTCCGTGTGGAAAAATTGTGGATGGGAATGGGTTGTCATGGACGATGGTTGCCTTATCGATAACTTCCTACATTTTGAGAGAAAAGTGTGCCAGTTCAGGACACTGGTTTGTGAGTTGGGGACAGATGGCGTCAGATGTGGAGGTGGTGAAGATTCTCATCACACACTGGGAAGACATCAAACCTCTTCCATCATCAAAGTTACCCATTATAAAACCCACATGCATACGTCCAGGTACAAACTTTAACGTAATAACTCAACAGTCAGCACAATTAATGTTGTTTTAATGGCGCTCCAGTCTGCACTTACTGGCAAAGGTTGCGATTTCCGGCCGCACCATGTGTTATCAATCTCTGACGTAAGCTAGGGAATCAGTAAGATCTATACAGCTCCCATGGCTTACACAGTCGAACGTTTAAAAATCCGAGATAATTAAATGAAGAGATACACTCGCGAGTTGTAGCTTCGGGCGAAGACATTCCGGTACAGACTACTATAACCACTGCTTAGACGTCTTGTTATTGGCCAGTTACCAGCTGCTGGAAATGCCGAAGTAGAATAAGTTTGATAAAAATCAGTGGGTTTTTAATTTAATCCTCTTATAATTTTTGCAGAGGACAGTGGCGATCAAATTTATATCAATCACTGTCCTTCATTGCAGTAAACTTCAAAGTTATGAACAATTTTCTAACAGTTGTCACACAAATTAACATTTCAGTTCAAACTTGGCACTGTCATCTCGCCAATCGAGTACATGTGGGCACTGCACCAAAAGAAATCCCTATTTTCGAAGTTGAGAGCCTCATAACCCCCATATCTTTTAAACCAACCAAGACAGGTAAGTCAATTCCGTATAATTTCCCATGTATGTAATGGTGAATTTGATTACATTATTTAGGTTTTAAACCGTTTTCAAACAGTTAAGTACAAATACAATGATTCCAGAGTTTAAGTTCAAATTCAATTTCTTTTCAGGAGATTTTGATATAAGCTTGTACCAGGACTACCGGTTTGAATCGCCTGATAACAGCGGACTGGGTGATATCAACCTTAACACTACCTTCCAGACACTAGACCAACAGTACATGGATAACATGGAGAGTTTGCAGACCGTCAAAGAGAGACTGGACTGTGAATCGCCCCAGAGGTCCAGAACATCATTAAATCTGGAGTTTAGTGACCCATCAGAGGCACACGATGAGCATCTTACAGAGATTGAAAATTGGATGAGGGAAAGCAAGAAAAAGGAAAACATATGGTCGAACAATGCAAATATGATTGAAGAAGAGGAAGAAGAGGAATTGGACTCAGATAGCAATAACCATATTGCAAATCTAGTTGGAAACATATTGTCGGGTTGTGGAGGGGGGTCCTACAACATGTGGGAAGATTTCACTCCACCGCCACGTGATACTGTCCTCTCAGGGCAGCACAGTAAGTCATATTGGTCCGACTACAGTCAGATGACCAGACGAGATGGGCTTATCGCAATGGTAACCAGACGAGAAGATCTCGTCTCTAGGATCAGAGAAGTCGTATTGAGAACCTTCCGGGAGGCAAGGGAGAAAATAAAGAGTGAGAATAAAAGCAATGAAATCCCAAAATCTGAATCAAGTTTAAAAGAACCGAACTCAATAAGCTCTAAAAGGTCTAGAATTTTGGATCTTTTAGTTAAGGCAAACCCTATCAAAGATATTTGTGATCTGGAGAAACTAGCTGATAAGCTATATCCAGCAAAAACATCAAATTCACTATCAACCCCGCTGAGAACAAGGAAACATTGCAGACACTCTCATCTTTCTCACAAGGAGTCAAAAGGAGATCTGAAATACTCAAACCCATTTGACAAACCGCCGCATCTAATCAAAGAATTCGTACCAAAGATCAAAGAAACCCTTTTAGAGGGTATGAGCAATATAAAACCGTTGGAACATGATCTCAAACCGATAGAACTATCAGATGGACCTTATCTGACAGTACCACCACTCACTTATAATTACACAGGCGAGCAATTTTACATTAATCCAGACGTCTTCATGATGACTTATCCGTGGATGGAACAGTGTAACTCAGCTGGATATATTCAACCAGATATTTCAAGCTACCAAACAGAGGGCTCTCCAATGTTCTATCCTATGATGTTGAATACCCCAAACGCCAATCAAGTTTCTTTGGGTAATAACATGCTACCAAACGTTAACCCGGCCCAAACTACAATAATCCCACCAATTCCTGAGGAGCTCCAGAGCACTACCCCACCAAACCTCTCCACCATCATGATGCTCAGTCAACTCTTCACCTCTATTCAGTAATCTGGAGGTGTTAAAGAGCCTTTATAAAAATGAGATTGCAGTGAGTTGGGCCTCCTCATTTTTAACATTTGCTTTAGTGTTAACAAATAACAGGTAATTCATTTAATATACACTTAACTAATACTAACTTGACAAATTAGCGTTTTATAAATTGTTTTTCTTTTATAGATTTTTTAATTTATCTTATCTTATGTTATCGGACTTAAGTATTTCGCCATTTCGGCCCTACCTAAATTTTAAAAACTGCGGAAACTATCCGCATATTAGAACTTTTCACAGAAATACTTAGATCTGCTAGTGTGTATTATAATATAACAATTACAATAACCTTTTCGGAATTTTATAATATTTTCTACTTACGAGCCAGGAAACATTTTCTGATTGTGTATGTACTTTGCCCATTTTTAATTGATTGTTAGAACGAAAATGTGTGTAGTGGCTGATTACTCAAGGCATAATGAGTAGCTGGAGATGATGAAATGAGTGCTGGTCTAAATATGAAAATGAGATATTGTTCTTAGATGTCCGGACTGCACTAGCCATGAGCCGACCAATTAACTTGACAAGTTCAATGTACTAATAAGTGGAAGAGTCACGTTATCGGCACGACACACCCGGCCTATCTGCCGGCTCTGGTTATTTATCTAACAACTGACCTGCGCATAATACCTGCTCAACTTGAGAGATTAGAGATGGTGAACTAAATAACGGTGCTATGGTACGTACCTATAGAAGTGGCTAATACGCTGAGAAAGAGGACTAGGGAGAGACCCTGTCCTGGCGAAGCAGATATCATGGGGAAAATGTAACGAAATAAACGGAGAAAAAAATCTTTTTGAAAAATGAGGAGTGGTCTTAGGGTACTCGGATTACAAGAATTACCAGATCACCTAGGAAATCATTGCAAATAATTAAACAATTAACATCCAGTCCTGATATGTAAGTGTGACTGATATAACCGTGATGCAATTCAGTTATAATACTCCTCTGATGTAGACGTAAATTTTATCTGCAAAAATTCAGGCTCAGGAATTAGAGACGTGGACGCGTTCCAGATTTGTTCAATCAATTACACCCAAATTTAGGGAAACTAGTATTGTGCGATGTTGTTCAAATTTCAAACTGTACACAACGATCAATCAACTCTAATGTTTAATTGTTTGGTATTATTATGGGATGTAACTGATTCAGAAATGGAGACGGATTTTTGCAAAATACCAATTTATCAAATTTGGCCTAAATATAGCTAATCATCAATTTAACATGAAAAGTATGAAATTTCGGGCTGCTTGACCAAAAAACTACTTATCGCAGCAATTAACATTCCTAGTTAAAAAATCTGTTAGTTTAAAACACGCCAAATGCCCGTTCATTCCAGTAGCATGGCCCTATCAAAATTAACAGGAGTAAAACAGCTGGGGAGACAGAAGATGTCCCCGACCCTTTGATTTCTCCTGGGGGGAGGTGGAGTGAGTCTGGTGGGGGACCGCACCACAGCAAAGTTAGCTACCGCACTGCTCAGAGAGTTGGGACACCTGATGTCGGACATGGACAGGGACCGCTCCCAGCCCTCTCTACCGATGGGCTTGACGTGGTTTCTGAAGATGTCCGCACTGTGAGAGCCATGTGAAGGTAGAGAGGGAGGAGGCCGAGAGGTGGGAGTGTTTTTAAATGAGGCTGGCGAAGGAAGAGGGGGTGGGACGTGGAAGTTATTGAAAGTAGCTAAAGATGGTAGAGAGGTCATGCTATCCTCACTAGAACTAGTGTCACCTCGCCCTGAAGTGGCTAGTGAGAAGCACTCCTCTGATAGTACTGAGTCACTGTCATCGTCCCACGTTAAAAAGTCGAATATGTTGGTTCCTGGGATAGCACTGGGGGGAGGGTACATGCCACACCTCCCTCTGTTATCTAACATCCTGCCCAGAGAGGGTTGAACAACACCCTCTGCACTTCGCTCGTAAACATTTTTCTCACACACATTAGTCGGGGTCCTCAGAATATCGTCACGTCTATAATATGTTCTCCCTTTTGAGTTTGACTTTGGATGACGGTTGTTTTTGACACCATACTTTTGATGATTTCTGGTCCTTTTTTTGGATTTAGAGGTCGCGGAGGACCGTCGTGAAGAATAATGGCTTGAATCTGAGTCCTTGGAACTGACAGTTTGTTTTAATTTTGAGGGTTGTTTGTTTTTAGAAGACTTAGATTTTCTGTTTTTGTTAGTAAGTGGGGTGCAGGGCAGTGGAGTACAAGCAGAATCGTCAGGAGGCTCAGTAGTACGGTAAGGAGCGAAGCGTGGTGTGGTTATTGATGGTTCAGGTTCTGGGTCGCTTAGCACAAAGTCCTCCGTGGGCAACTCCCTCGATCTCCTCTTACCTTGCCTCGATTTGAGGGGCTCTGAGATTTTAGTCTGTGTCATCTTCTCAGGATCTGAGTTCTTGATGCCACTTTTGGGATGCAACTTACGGGGCGGGACATTCTTTATAGGAGCATGATTATTATATTTATTAATAGGAACGGACTGAGACCTTTCTGGTAGCGAGTTTTCTCTGGGGATTGAAGTGGAGGCGTCCGAAGTTAAACTACCAGATTGTTTGTTGTTAGACCCGGTTCCTACTGACATCGAGGAGTGAAGGGAAGGGCGAGTGTTGTTATCGTAATTATAAGCGCTATTCGAAGTACTGGACTCCCCTGACGTACCTTCAACATCAAGACTGCCCTGTCTTATCCTCCTGCGTTTTGGTCCCTTCATGAAGAGAGCCAGTCTGCCAAACATGCCGAGTCCCTTATTTCTATGTCTGGAGCTAGTGGAAGGGTCAGTGGATAGGGCGCTGGAGCTGGCCTCATCCGAGGTACATTCCTTGTTCTGCTTTACTATAGTGCCTTCTGGAGACAGCACGTTGTCATGATGTGGAGGGAAAGTATCCTCACAACTATCATCATAATACACTCCATTCTCCATGCTCTCCTGACCCTCCTCGATTGTCGGGTGTCTCAAATCAAACTCTACGATCACCCGCTCCATTTCATGAACCGTCATGTCTTTTCCGTTCTCCAAACAGTCCCTTTCAATAGTTTCGCGGGACTGATCAGGTTCACAAGCCGGACTTGTAGTAGAGGGTACAGTATCTACAGGAGTCGGTTGTGGGAACTCCTGTGGTGCTGGGGACACCACAGGAGATGGGGACTCCGGTGGTGGCGTTAATTTCGGTTTGGGCGGGGACTTCGATGGTGGGGGCTGTGAATTTGGTGGAGACGGTGACTTTGGTGGAGGTGAAGACTTCGGTGGAGGCGGAGTTTTCGGTGGGGGTAGTGACTTTGGTGGGGGCGGGGACTCTGGTGCCTCCGTCAACGGGGCAACCTCAGTTTTAACAACAATATTCTCTGCTGGTTCCTCTTTCCTTAAGAAGACACTAAATACACTGCCGAACATAGAACCACTTGTGCTGGCTCCGTTTCTGCTCGCATTAGCTGCCGCGATCTTGGCTGCTTCCTCTTTAGCATCACCAGCATCCTCATCACCTGCTTCACACGCGCCGCTCGAACTTGCTTCTGAAAATTAGAATATTTGCTCGACTTTTGACTAATCACTTTAAGCGATTCATTGTGTAGTTAGTGTCTCGCCATGCTTACTGTTCAGTTAGTAACAAACCATGCCAGCACTAAAATGCGCTTAAATATAGTTTGAATAAAAAGATCAGCACTTTTGGTCCACCAAGCGCAGCGAAAAATGTGGGGTTAACTAGTTTTATGTTTACATTTTGTTAATAATATTGAACAAGGCAGGATGCAAACCATACGATGTGTAGTATCTCCACTCAATAATTTATGGGAGTAGGGTCACTCGGATCTAATCAGCAAAATTCCAGCGCGAAATTAGCATGCGTGCTAGACAACCAGCTGAATTCGAGCATTCAAAACATTTTAACTATATAAAAATTAGAATAAGATCGTTTGCATTGACGCAACTGATACCCTAGCTAGACAGCACGTGTCGTCTAGACTCTAGCTAGACGGCACTGTCTGGGTACTTGATGCGGTCGTCGTTCTAGCTAGAAGGCACATGCTGAGATCTTATTCTAATTTCCATTTAGTTAGGTATATGGATAGAGTTGGTTGAGGCTGGAAGATAAATAGATATTCAGGTCCGCTAGATGGTAGTTTAATTAACGGTAGTTTATTAAAGAGTGTATTTTCTCTCTGAGTATACGAGGGATAACCGGTGCTGGAAAAGTAGTGTTCGGGCTGATTTTATAACAACTGGTCACCTCGCTACTTATTAGGGTCTAGAAATTCTGAGACCCCGTTTCTTTGGAGAAGTAGTTTTGATGGTGTAGCTCTTATAGTACATTTGGCCAGGAGTAGTGGATCCCACTTGTTTTACTGACAAGAACTCAGCAGGTCCCACCCCTAAATAAGTTACAGTAAAAAGGGGGGAAATGTAGGCCTGAGTTCAGCGTTCTGAGAAGTTTAGCAGGAAAATCCTTGCATTCTATAGTTGGAGAATGGAGATGGAAGGGGGAGAGGGGGGTTACATATACCAGCACAGTCACATCTCAGAACGCTGAAATCAGGATCAGAGACAACACGAACATAGTGTTAGCTGTAATCTTACCTCCATGTGGAGCAGCTCAGCAGTCAGCAGGGTAGCAGATACCAACTAACCTTTACCAGCCCCTCCCTCCTCCTCCTCATCCTCCTCGTTTGTAACCCCCGCGCTTCCCATACTCCCGCGCTTTGTTTCTCGGGGCGATCTCACTTCCGCTCTGCGTTCCAGGTCTCTGTTCACGTGATACAACTCTGTGGGTGAACAATTCTTAGAATTAAAGCAAGCAGATGGGAGAATGTCCCCTAATATATAATCCTAGTCCGGATAAAAGATAACCCTAATGCATTACCCTGGTCGGGGTGGAAGATGGTAGGTACATTAATCCTCTCCAGGACAGTGCTCTCGTCCTCCTCCCCCAGGTAGCCATGCCACACGTTTAGAAGAGTGGGAGGTTCCCGGGTGCCCCGACTCTCGTGTTTCTCCTTCCAGTCAGTCTGGAACACGTCCATATCTGAAACAGAGATAATACTGTTGCCATGGCAACAGAAGACATGCCGTTACCATGACAACAGAGATAATACTGTTACCATGACAACAGAAAACATACTGAAACCATGAAAACAGGAGACAGACCGTTACTATGACAAGAGGAGACAAACTGTTACCATGAAAATACCAAACATTATTACAGACAGTTCTTTGTTCTTTCGCCAACTTTCCTCAGAACTTTCAATAACTCAAAAGGAGTAAATAAATATTTAAATTTCTTGAGAAATCGTCTACCAAGTTAATACGTTTGCTCCCAGATGGTAAACAGATGAGTGATCACAGATATTTTTCCACATCCCTAAGGACCAATTTTCTACATCCGAGACGGGAGAGATAAACGGAGAAAATGCAAAACATCAGGTCAAGATCTGAATATTAGACATGCTTTAAATAAGTCACGTGACAAAGACATCTTACTGAGCAATTAAAGATGTTTATGTGCTGTTGTCCAATAATCAAGAAAAATTGTTCAATTTATAAAATTTGTGAAGATAATTTTGTTCTAGAAAGGTTTTACAATTTACCAAATTCGTGAAGATAAATTTGTTAGATATACGTTTATATTCTTTTATATTCTATCCTAAATATTCTGAGGATTTTAATGGGGTATTTACTAATTTACTGTACAATTTATCAAATGTAGAAAATTTAATTCCTTTAGGTGGGGGGATGGGGGCTAGATTCTAAAAATCAATTCAGAACAAGAGTATCTTGCACCACTCCTACCACTACTACTACTACGACTACTCAAAAATTACTGCTTTGTAAAAATTTTAAGATGTATAAAAGGAGGATAGTGAACTTTTTCCATAACTGACTGGACAAAAACAATTATTTTTATCGGTTATGAATAGAACGATACTGTTATATTAACAAAGATAATTAATATTACTTTACTTATATTAAACACCTTTTTACAGATAATGACAACAATGCAACTTACTGGACATTGTTGATGTGAACTAATTTGAGGAGGAGCAGTGCTGAGTGCAAACGATTCCTCCAGTTTCCTACTCCAACACTAATTATAATTATTATTATTAACACTGTTCTAAATATCCGCATGACACGCAAAAGACAAGCAGTTTTGTAATTATAATTAGTTTTTTCTTCACGCTCCAAGATAAAAACCCACTATAAGTATACCAGATAATAAACAATCACATATCACAAGTATATACTAGCATGCTATTATTACACATATATATTTACTAATATTTACTATAATTACATAAATTTACCTAACGTTTGTCTATATAATCATCTGTAAGTGTATGATTATACTATCGAGGTGCCGTGAACTCTAGCAGAAGAAACATTTGAGCTCTTTGTTTTACACTGAGCAGGCGAGCGCCGTTGTGATCAGAGATTTATAATCATTTTGGCATTTTTATAGTAGAATCACAATTTGAACAATCGACATCAACAAAATATTCTAGCAAAAACATGGAAATGAAGTTAGTAACTGAAGGAGACTTTGTAGCATTCCACAAAAATCTTTTACAGTTTTATGCACGAGCTCAAATTTGATTTCAGAAACCAAGCCAGGCCACGCTGCTGTCAGCAACCTAGCAACGCCTCCAGACAACATCCCATGGTCCTGCAAACCCCTGGTCATGTCCTATAAACCCCCGACAACGTCCCCTAGCCCCCAACGTCCCCTCTAGGAGCTCTCTAGCAACACCCCTGTGAGGCTCACCCAATGACTACGCCCCCAGAACAAATAGAACTATGAGTGTTACAGATAACTGAATGAGTTAGTGCGACTAATACACTCACTACCGTGTGGGTTGTGTCATTATCGCTTATCTGGCTTAATACTCACGCCTCCTCCTCTCCGGTTAATAATAAGTATAATAATTTATGAAGGAGTAATAATAAGTAGTGCTTATGACTGTTGAAATTACCCGTAAAACGGCTTAAGAAATTAGGTAAATTTCCCGGATCTTGGCCAGTTACTGTTTTGCTGGAGTGAAATTAGCGAATAAAATCTGGTTTGTCGACAATTGCCTCATTATCATAAAGCGATGAGTAGTTGGTCACATGATTGTTGTAGCTATTCACGTGCTTTTTGTAGTTATTCACGTGATCTTTATATCAAGTCACGTGTTGTGTTTATGGCAATATGAAACCATGATCGAAAGAAGTTTCAAAAGTGAGTCATTTTCTCTAAATAACTATTCTCTATATAATTATTTGAAATGCCTGAATGAAATGTCTCTACCCATGGTCATCCACACTTTGTGGGTGCGGTACTGCGGCTGCAGTGAGAGTGTACTTTTTAATTGTGAGACCTTTTTGATCTGAGAAAGAAATCTAATCTTGCCAGTCACGGCGATGCTCTTAAAATTCTATATAAAATGGCGCAGCAAATTCAGTACAAGTTAGTTATTGAACCAAAGTTATTGTTACTAAAGTTACCGAATCTTACCATTCTTCTCCTCACACACAGCAGCTTTACCCCAGTTTGAGATCCCTTTTATACTAGACCAGCGCGCTGAGAGTAGAAGGTAAAAGTGAGATCAGTGCCGGACAAAGACAAATTCAGATTTGAGAACCTAGCTAAAAGCTATACAGAGAAAAATAGAGAAAAAGGAATATTGCCTACCGCCCCATTTTGAAGACGGACCAGTTTCATTTTCAGCTCTATCTGAAATAGCCATCCTTTGACTGCTGAAAAAGTTGCTGAGCAAGTTTTTGGACTCGTTTGTGGATTCGAAGAGACTTTGAATCGCTGAATTGACAGGAGTCTTGTTGATGAGCCAGGTAATAGGGTTCTCTCCCTGAGTAATAACACGCTTCACTTCGTTTATATTGGACCACATCATCGCTTGACTTTCCTCACCTAAAGCTGACTCTATCATTGAAATCTGCTCCTCTTCCTTCTCCTCTCCCGCCCTTTTCTCCTCGTATATTTTCTCCAAATAAGTCTCAAAGTCTGGACTATCTATATCAGTTACTGGACTTGGTTCGGTTACTTTAATCAAGTTATCGTAATCATACTCCATATCCCCATCTTTACCTTCTCCTACAAATATCTTAGAGACTGTAAACCCATCAGAGGAGGAACTTGTCAGCTGAGCCTCCTCAATACTGTCCTGACTCCTGAACTCCACTACACTGTGGGCAGTGTTGTGGGGGTGAGTCAGGTGACAGGAAGCAGCTGGCAGACACACATCACTGCAACACTCACTTAGGGAGCTATGAGTGGATCCTGAGGAGGAGGTCCGCTTGTGTGACGAGCACACTTCCAGATACTTGCAGTTCGGCTCCGAGCAGGTTTCTTCTGGGGGTTGGTGAGTGGTACCTGCTAGAGGTAGAGTGGGGAGGTGAGTAGGGGAGGAGCTGGGAGGGAGATATCTGATATTTCCGGTTGGAGTACTGCTGCTGTGGGCCTGGTCACGCGATGGAGAAAAAGAGGCAGGTTTTCCAGTATCACTATAAGCATAAGACAGAGGGTCTTCTTCATCAGAGTATTCGTCGTCAGTTTCCTCAGATAAAGAGGTAGGGGATAGACTGTCTAGCTGGACGGTGGTACCGGCGGCGTAGGAAGCATTAGACAGCTTAGCAACATCAGACAAGTCACCTCCAATAACCACAGCAGGACTTCGTATCAGCTCGTACATTTTGTCTCCTCTGCTCAGGGGTACAGCAAGGTCAGGGGTAGCACTTTTAGCTTCACACAAGATGAAAGAGCCACCCTCCTCCTCCATGGGGGTAACTATAGTTAGCTCTGACCTGCTGCGTCCTAGTTCCCCGGAGACGAACTTCTCCCTGTAGTGCTTCATATACTGGTGCTGGGAGAAGTTCCTCCCTAGCGTGTTGGACGCCCCGAACATGGCCGGTATGGAGTTGGTGGATGAGCCAACTTCCTCTTTGGGAAAGAATTTCAGAGCAGTTCGCGGGTTCTTGGGGTTGGAGCTCTTGTCGGCACGTTTAGTGGATCCGGACCTTTCAGATTTGAGCCTTACTGATCCACCAGATTTAGTAAACTCTGAGGTCTTATGTCTGTTCTGAGCAGGGTTATCCTCAACATCTAAATCAGCTAATTTGGAAATGGAAACATTTGATAATTTATTAGGTAGAGAGGAGGGTTTAGTGACATCTTTCTGGTTTGCAGCTTCAATCGGGCAAGTAATCTTAGCGACAGAACACTCCTCTGCAAGCAACTGGTCTTCCGTGACCAGCTGTTCGAAGTTCCAGCCTAATGGAGCCATGCTGTACTGTGAAGTTTTAGTGGGGGTCTCTGACTCAGGGCGTTTTCCTAAAAGGTTCTTTCCTTTTTCCAAAAGTATGAGCGAGTGTCTCCTCAATTTCAGCGTAGTGGGTTTCGTCTCAGCTGAAGACTTTCTACTGCGCGAGGTGGTGGATTCTCGTGGCTTGGTTTCTGGTTTAGGTTTCCTGACGAAGAAATCATTCTCGTCCTCGTCTTCAGAGTCCAGATAGTCGAACTCGTGACTGTCCTCCTCCTCATCCTCTTCTTCTGGGGCATACTTGTCGAAGTCGTCCGCGTATCTCCGCCATTGAGTGAGCACGTTCTTCGAGGCACGCCGTTCCAAGAGATTTTTCATGTTACTCATCTAGCAAGACAAGTTACGGAGTGCAAGCAACTGATAAAATAAAAACACGAGAGAAAAAGGAATGACAGCGATCCCACGAGAGGAGTGACTAATTGAGAGATTTTAGTATACTAACTACTATAGTAGTGTTGGGTCTAATTCTATTAGTATATCCGCGCAGTCTGCAGTCTGCTTTCAGCACACCCAGCAGCAGAAATTACAGTTACAATTAGTAAACACACCATCACTAGCGATCATCCACAATTATAGTTGCGATCTATGAGAAAGTTAGATCAAGTAAAACTTGCTATCTGCTCATGATTAAATGAATTTTGCGAATATCGTTAGAAAAAAAGAGATGTTGATTAAGTCAAAGTGACTACCCTAAACTTAACGTTCAAAT